GGACTATCCACCACACAAAGCGTTTTCAATTCCAACTAGTTGTTCTTGAAATTAGGGTGTTCTTTTCTTTTTTAAAACGTTGCCCCACACTAGAATTTTCTCCTGTATCGTGGGTGTGTTTACAAACATACAATTTCATATACCTATACACATCACACCAAGACCCGGGATAACAAATTTAGGATCACACAAATAATTGTTTCGTGGCGGAAATCGAACCCGCGACACGTTGCGCGGCAGCCTTACCGTCTAAAAAACAAACAAACTAATAAATAAAGAAACTTTTCAGCTTTATAATGTTAGTATAAATAAGAATGAGGAGCGGATATTTTATAGCTGAAGATTTTTTAGTTTTTTTTTACAAGTGCTAACGTAATTATGAAGTTTGATGAAATGTGAACCTGGGTTGTCAGACGGGAAAATAGCTTCTTTTATATTGTTTCAACTTTAAAGACAGCCCAATGGGCTTATCACAAAATAAAAATAAACAGGTGTGAGGGTTGAATGTGCAGTGTGGTAAAAGTGATCAATAAGCGGCGGCCGGGGCTAACCCTCGGCTGGTCACTAATAGCAGCCAGTTAGCGGGTCGATTAGACCTCGTTAGCTCGAGATTTTAGGCTTATACCGGCTTAAGTGAGAACTCGTATTTTTAAAGGATAACAATTATTGTTACCTAGGTATCTTGTTTACTGACTAACTTCTAATAAATGCACACATTCTTTGATAGGAAAAGACGATGTATATTTTGACTTATGAGACTTTTTTAATGCAATGTCTTATTATGTATACGTTCATATTTTTGTACAAAACATATATACAATACGTAAGATATAAAAATGCTTTTATAAATATTATTTCTATTCTTATATGTATATTTCTATTCTTGTAAATATATATACTGTTCAGTTGTATAAATTTTGTATTTATTTTCAAAGCCCATTTTTTTAGCCTATAAGTATATTTACTGTTCTCTTTATATTTAGTTTATGTAGTATATTATGTATGTATGTTCTATTTCAGCAAACATTACCGGATTCCCGGTGTCACACACCAGCGCCCAGTTTTTGCACTTGAGGTCACTGTTGAAAGGTTCGATGCTTGAGTGAAGCAAATAATACCAACAATAACGAACTAGACATTACCTACTTAACAGCTTAATAAGGTTTTTTGTTATTAACTAATTAAAAATGTACATATATTATGTAGTTAAATAACACAAGAAAAACATAACTTTGTAATCTATTGACTTCTAGTTGGGTTTAATATTAAAATGATAAATGTTAAACTAAGTCACGGTGTTAATAACTTCGTCCTAACCTGAATATTAATAATTTGATCTTCAAAGCTTTGGGGTCTCCGCACAGTGGACCCTTCAATGCAAATACCGGACCAAATCAACTAGTAGTTGGATAAATATATTTATCTTTTTAACATTTAAATAAATCTATCGTTCTCCTAGTCTCTGCCCTTGTCGAATATACTACCGTTTCAGTAACTATTAATCAAAAGCTCGGTGCCACTTCGAGTATTCATGGATAGATATAATAGCGTCAAGAACCGTAAATAGTAGGTACATATGTACGTAGTTCAATGAAATTAACTTTACCGATACTCAGGCTGTGCCTGTAAAATAGCCAGCCCTCGTCGTCAGCCTCAACCACCCTTTACAAAATGTAAATTCAAATGGCGCGGCCACAGCAAACAGAGTGTAGTTAGTATGCGCGCACAGTGGGCCGCGCCGCTCGCTCCTGGACAAAGTTTGGCTGTTAACTTACGCCAAACGACCGACGTATCCCGATGCGTAGTCTAATTAATTTTGTTTAGTACTGTCGTATCATTCGGGATTGCTGGGAAGGTGAACAGTTAAAATGGTTGATGAAGACCCGAACAGGCCTATAAATTAATGCCCGTTATTTCTGTCCGTGTCTAGTTTAAACTTAATTGAGGCTACAGTGACAATTACACTACCCTTCAAACACTAAGCACTTCTAAGAATATTTAGATAAATCCAAAACTGAGAATCCTACGACTAAACACCTATTTCTAGTGATCAATGACGGTCAAATTGAAGTTCTATAGAAACTGTAAAATGGATTGCGTTATAATCTTATTCTCTCGACGAAATTAAAATGTAAATCTATCTTAAAGGGCTTCTATTTTTAGTAGATCAACAAGGGCTCGATCTTTTGCTAATCGCATAAAGCAGGGACAAAGATTGAATACAAACATTTGTTATGACTATAATAGAATTAAATGCGCCAGTTTATGTACACCGCAGTAATGGGATGTCGTCAAAGTTTTACAGCCCCATAAGGAGGACGTTAAGTTGTATTATTGTTATTTTATTTGTATTTACTTTTCTTTTTACGCACAAAGTGCTTGTAATGGACAGCTCCAATGATCTTTAACGATAATAATTCTGGTTTTATTAACTGAACCAGATCATCCCACTTTATTGACATAAAACTCTCTTCATATCGTTTATTTAGGTAACAATTTATTTGAAATTTTTCAAGTTCAATCTAAACACGATGTCAAAACCCACAGTATTCTTAAAATGAAATCTCACACCAACACGGTGCACACAGTATTGCACTTGGCATCATATAACGACCTCACTGCAGAACTATTCCGCTCTCTGTGCACATCATTTGTAGCGCACACAATTTTGGCCAGGAGACACGCGTGTTCGAGCACTGTGCATTAAACTTTTTTAATGTAGTCTACATTTTGGTGGGAAGCTAGACTCTAGGGACTCTTTACGTGAGGTTTAGGAGGTTTTTAGTGAGCATTTAAACGTTGAACTGTGTAGTCAAATTACATCAAGTATTTAGTTTATTAGGGATAAAATATTTATCAGCACTAAGTGAAAATGCTAAGTAATGTAATGTTTCAAAGATTTTACGTTGAACAATAACAAAGAGATTGTGTTTTGTATCAAAACTGTCATTTCAATTAGCCCTAGTACTGCGCTAGGCCGACCCACGCATACAGACAGTATTCATTATTATAATATTTACATTTCTAACTCAGCACATCGGCTTATTTCCACGAGCCTCACGTTCTCACCATCATTTATAAACCGAACCACATTTTATACTGGCTAAGGTTGAAAATTCAATGCAATTAGGTTGTGAAATGCATGATATTTAATTCATAAAAGTCGTGCATGTGTATGAGATTGCTTCTAATGTTTGTGTTGAGGTATTATTTGTTTGTTTCGTTTGAATTAATCATGTTTGTGCGCAAAATGGCGGCGCATTCGAAGGAAATAAGGAAATTGCAGATAGATCTGGTTTAGGAGCTGGCGAGGCTGTAGGAGGTGAAGCCATTAGGTTACCTACGTGTGGAAATGGCTGCACTTGGAGGGTGAGGCAGGGTTGGTTATACATTGATAAAAGCAATTTTTCAAGCAATCAATAATAAAGTCTGTTTCTCTTAATAAATCCTACAAGAGGCGAGTGAGAGCACTCAGACAGATTGCGTAAGAAAAAGAACTAGTCCTTTATCCCAATCAAAAATCTGTGACTAGTATGTATGTATAAGTAATTTTGAACATAAGACGTCAAACAATTTCAATTAAGTCGCGACCACTTGCACACATTAACATCTAGCTACACACTTACTCACAAACGTTATCACTGCCTCCGAATACTTGTTCAAAAGCAATTTATTTCCAACTGATTCCATATTTACTTATCCATGCCTTGATCTACAAGATAACATTATAAAATCTGTACATCTCGTCAAATCTCGAACGAAAATCTCTTTTAGAATACATGGCGAGTTTTCTTCAATAACATTACTGAAGATGTGCGTCTATAATGCGATGGAAAACAAACTTTAACGGTTCGTGTATTTACAATATTGAATTACATTCCTACATCTGAATATGGCGGGGATCTGAATAGATATTAATATAGACATGGTTTAGTTTGACAAACCGATCCCTTTGGGCGGCTTATAATAAATGTATGTATCTTGATAAAAATGTCTGTCTGATCTGTAGTAATATGTTGTTTGCGTGGCGTATCCTTGTAATGCTTTCGTTAAGAATGTGTTGTGAATATTCGGTTATAAGGGCGTCGGGTAATATATTGGTAATACGAGGGCTGCGACAGCGGGGCACATTCTCTGCGGTCCTTTTTGTATTATATTCCTATATTATTAGTTCATAACATTTCACCTACAACCAGAAATCTTTGAAAATAGCCTTCTTACTTCTCATTCTTTCCTGTTAGTATTACCTTTTCATCTATTTGCTTTGTTATGAATATAGACGCGTTATCAGTCGACCACAGTTTCTGAATTCAAGTAATTAATTAATGTAAGTAGGTCTGTCTCGACTCGTGAAAGATACACGCGGCCAGGACGGCCACAAACATTTCTGAGGTAAATATAAACTGTTTATTTAAAAGAGAAGCCTCACAGAGTGCCTCAAGATACTCCTCCTAGTACTGTATGTGGATAAGAAATGAAGCAAATTAGGCTAATGGCTTCTACTGAAAATGTTGCTTTATACAAAATAATGTTGATGTATAGTGGATCCACGGTACAGGCATATAATGAAAGTGATAATTTAAGCATAGTCATGTTTTATGTAATGAGATACAGATTGGTTGCTTTTATGCATTATGGAAGACGGATTTTAATAGTGTAGTTCAAAGATTCGATAGTTGTATTAGAATTGAATTTAAACCAAAGTTTCACCACTAATGAAGAGAGTGCACTTTGATAAATCTCGTTGGGATACTTGGTTAATTGTCCTTCTGCTTCCTAATGCCACAATTAGAATATGTGAAAATATTCATAAGGAATTGTGTATGAATTATCAACAACATCTAAATACTTCATTTTCGTATTCTATTTGTTAAACTTATTTTCAAATCACCTAAAATAAATGTTATAAAAACTTCACATTTCTGAATTTATACATACATAGTGTACCTGACTTTGTCTTGTGTCTTTACATATTTATTAAATTTATTATTTGTCTACAGTGACAGCACTACGCGAGCACTGGGACGAGGCCAATGCCCGCGTGCTGCAGCGCAAGGCGCAGCTGGACGCCATGCTGGGCGACTCGCAGCGATACGAGGCCCGACGCCGCGACGCCGACGCCTGGCTGTCGCGCATGGAGGCCCGCCTCGCTGCCATGCAGCCGCCTGCCAACACCGCTGATGTACTGGAGATGCAGCTGCGGGAACAGAAGGTAAATATCGCTAATATATTTAACTGCACGGTTGGCGCGGTGGCTGGCCCACTGGCTGAAAACGGAAAACTCTTTGTGGAATTCATAAATTGTTGTTCCGGATCTGGGTGTAATGTATATGTAAAAATCCGAGTGTGGGGCAACGTTTTGTTGTACTTTTAAATACGCTTAAAGGCTGGTATTATCCGGAGAGATAGTGATGAAAAGTATTGAATACTGTGTAGATTGCATTAAGACTTGGCGTAAGTTCATATACGATATCTATGTGTGTTTGCTCAATTGAAATCGATTAGTTAAGTTCTAATATCTCCCAGTGTTGTATGAAGTAGCCGATCTGATCCAATCAAATCAAAATTAAATTAAACCATTGATCTCGTAGAATAGTAGTCTGTCAGTCTATTCGTCAGTAAGACTATGCTCGTTTCATATTGTAGATTCGGTTGGAGAAGAACGAGCAAGAAACTCCATTCGTTACTCTTTTTTTTTTAATTTATCTTTAACCAGTTTACCAAAACATTATTTCAATTTTCTACGTATTTGAAACGCATGATATTTTAATTCACTTTTGATGTATTAACTTCTATCGACCATATATATCATCATGCTCTATACAAGTAACAGAAGCCTTCCCCGTCAACTCATTTCCCAAAAAGTCTTCAACAAAGATTCAAATTAACATTTTTATAATAAAAAGGTGATAAAATTGCAAAGCGTGAGTCGCGGCGCCGTATACTGTATTAGGTTTGTGGACGTGACCAGCACTATAATCTGGTGTCGTCTGCGTGTCGTATGTGGCTGCTGGATGCTGGTAGACTACTGGCCGAGCTGAGTCAGCGTCTGTTAACTTGTAATGTTGTTTTTGAAATATATAAGACCAGCTTCTGTCGCGCTCTTTCACTCGCTGCTCGGCTCTTACCAATCTTAGCGTGATGTTTTATAGTCTAAAGCTTTCCTCGATAAATATACTAACAAACACCAAAATAATTATTCAATTCGAACCAGCAGTTCTGGAGATTAGCGCGTTCAAACAAACATACTCTCCAGCTTTATCTATACTAATATTATAAAGAGGTAACATTTGTTTGTAAGTTTGTATGTAGGGAGTAATCTTTGGAACCGCTGGTCGGAGTGCCAAAATTCTTTCACTGATAGATAGGTAAAATGTTCCTGAGTGCTATAGGCGATAAAACATCACGCTAGGATTAAATGGAGCCGAGTAGCGGGTGAAACCGCGCGAGTGTAGCTAATAATAGAGGTTAGTATAGATAGTATACATTAATGTCCACTCAAAATGCAATATATCTAATATGTTGGATGAATATTAAATAAACAAACTTACAAAATGGGAGGGTAGTAGAGTAGTACTATCATTTACTTAGTGTTATTTTATTTTGATATTTTGTGTCGTCAGCTTACTACAGAAACAAAAGGTGTCATCTTATATTTGTAACACACATCTATAATCTTAAATATTTTTTCTTCATAATCCAAACCTTATATTAGAAATCAAAATCAATATTACATTACACAGCTGAACTATTACTGATTACTTGACAAACACTATTTTTCGCGTAACGTCGCAACCTGTAACATGTATCGTGTAACACTGAGGTGTGACGTCACTGTGTGTTATCTCAGTTCACTGCATGCGACGCCATATTGTCTCGTATTCGCGCTTTCTTTCAAAATACATACAAAGTATAAAAGTCACCTACATTTTCTGTCAAATCAATTTATTAGACTTTAATCCAAAATAGTATTTTAATATTTGTTGTTTCGGGTCTGGGTGTCATGTGTATGTGACATTGTATGTTTGTAAACGCACCCACAACACAGAACAAAAGCCTAAAAGAGGCAAGGTTTTAAAAAAAAAGCGAAAGTAACTCTGTTTGTTTGTTTTTCTTTACGCCTAAACTACTGATCCGATTTCTGTGAAATTTGGTACAGACATACAAGTTTGGAATTCGAAAAATGACATAGGATAGTTTTTTATACCAAAAATCTGCAGGAAGTCACTATTCCACGCAGAAGCTAGTGTTTTAAAAAAAAGTCGAAAATATTATGTAAATAATTTACAGATTGGAGTAGGTTGAAAGGATTGTTGTACACTTGTCCCGGCCACGGCTTCATTCGTGGTACTTATGTTGATAAAAAGCAGCCTTTTTGTTAATCCAGTGTATCACCTATACATACCAAATTTCTACAAACATTCATCCATAAATTCCCACAAACTTTCACATTTATTGTAAAAGTAGGAAGCAGGATAGTGTATATGTATTTATTTATGTGTATGCCATTTTGAATGGACATTATACTGTCAGATCATCTTGGACGAGGCTGCTTGTAGCGTGTACCTGTCGGCAGGCATTACTCTGTATTCTGTATGCCTCGAGGCTCCGTACTGTCTGTTGAAACAGACACTACAGTTCTATTCAAATTGATTTAGCTTGAAGGTAGATGGATAGAAACTTAGTAACACGCGACGTTATTAAAAATATATTAGTAAAATATATATATATTTATAAAAATAGTGGTAATTCAAGACACAATAGAAAAACTATAGGTGCGCGAGTGGCGGCGTTCGCTTGGGGTTTGATAAATTAAATATGTATATGTCCTAATTATGGTTGTAGTGGCGATTACCGGAGGCCCAATCCTTCCCCTCCCCCAATCCCTCCTCAATCCCTAAATCTCCAAATCCCTAATCCATAAAAGGTCGGCAACGCACTCGTAACTACTCCGTTGCGAGTGTCCATGGGCGGCGCTAGGTAATCCGTCTGCTAGTTTACCGATCGTTTACATAGATTAGGGTGTAAGGTCCAATTTTTATGTGGAATTCAAGTTAGTGCCATAGAAAATATTGGTATATATTTTCTCTGAATTCCGAAGGAGAAATAACACATTTGTGTTTAGGCTGATGTGGGTGGGTATTATAATACTTTATCCACCTACTTGTATAGGCGTAAAAATAGCGTGTTGTTATGTATTATGTTCCATAAAACCACGGATAAAGGGAAACACAATAGTATTACAAACAGAGCCAATAACAGCAACTCGGAGAAAATGACACGAGTCGGAAACTCGGCAGTACACGACCGACGTGGTATTTTCTCGTTCATTCATTCCATTCATTCGTTCATCCGTTCACTCGAGATCTGATTCTCGATACATGAATCCGTTAATGAAAGCAATTCAGCGTCGTGACATTGTCGTGTCATGTGAAGTATTCAGTTTCTGGGGAATTGCGTGTTTTAGAAGTTGCCTTTTAAATTGGTTTTAAATGACAAGAGGTTTTTTGAAAACGACGCTTCGTCTAAAGGTTTTTGGGCTTCATCGAAATAAATAATGTAATTTGTCATGATTATTTTCTGTTTGGCATTTAAATGAAGACATGTGTTTTTACGGGATAGGTAAGCAATAGGCGCCCGCCATGGACGGGTGTCCATGCAACACCAAAGGAGTTGCGACTGGGTTGCCGGCCGTTGGGGATATGGGGTGGAGGGGTTGGACCTTCGGGTCCACACTCACACGGCGAAACACAACGCTTGTTTTGCGCCGATTTTCTGTGAGACCGTCACTCCGGTCGAGTCGAGCTATTCGTGCAATCGTGCCGAAGCTTGGCTTTCCCACACTAAACTTAACATCTTCCTAAATGAGATCGGCATGGTGATTAAATATTAAAAAAAAATACTTCGTTATATTTAATACAATTGTCAACTTCTATGTCACAACAATGTCAAATACGAATATATTAAATTCTGCGCTTGAATTGAAACAAAACACTAATTAACTAAAGTTCTCAGTTTAAATAATATTACTAAAGTTTGACACTAACAAAGTGAGTGGTAACCCTCTGTCTCAGTAACTGCCCCCCCCCCCCTCACAGCGCTAACAAAAACTTGCAATAAGTAATGTAATTTTCTTGTGGAAATCAGCAAAAATATGAGCGAAGTGGTTAGTGCCGACGCCGACGGAAACTTTGTACATTTGCATAATTACTCGCGTCGTATTTATACACACCAACACATACATACACAAACGTCTCAGTTACACACCAACTTGTAAATAAGACAGTGAAACTTATAAGCGATTTTGTACCTTAACGCACTTGTCTTTGGATTTAAATTTTTTCTGAAGTTGGACAAACTTTTCAACTCAGTTTATATCGACATGGGTGTCCTTTTAAAAACAATAGGTAGAATGGGAACACCCATGAATAATGTAGAGACCAAATAGGCTGCATACAAAGTTTGTTCCTCCCGAAGTTTTCGTAACTGGGTTGGGGTCGTCACCGATAGGTCCTCCATAACCTCAAAGTTAAGAATATAACGTATCCTCATGCTTTTATTCCCCGTGGACAAAGAAAGAAAGAAGTTTCAAATACGTCCCATTTTTTTTACTATTTTTTGTGGTGCTTCTCCCTGTTGTAGATACTGTCTCTGTACGCTTTTACCCACGGCTTAAAGCTTCTCTATCTTTCTTTAAACTTACCGAGGGAAGTGTAGAAAAAGAAGAAAAACAAATTGTTTCTTCTTCTCCTCAAAAAATATCTTCTGAATTATTTCTCTCTGCAGTATCTGTACTATGTGCTGTAAATTCTAGCTTAAAAGTATTTCGGCAAAATAGTCAGAATGTTAAGTACGGTCAGTGAATTTTTAAGTTCTATTTATCTCAGAGCTTTAGAATATCGAAAATTCTCGTAGTTTTTCTCCGGGAACATTACTGAAACTCTTAAAGCGTGGTTTCCTGGCCTCATAAGTTACGAGTAATAGTAGAAGTTGCTCGTATGCGCGCCATAAATCCCTGTTAATTGGGACCCGGCCGCGGGAAAGCCTTTAATATTCCACTTTGCATGGAACCTAACTGCCTTGTATTTTATCTACTGCCTCGAACTCTTAGATATTCGACTATTGCTTTATACAAATTTTGTTTTGAATTCAAAACAATTGCAGACTTTGTCTGCAATTGTTTTGAATTTTGTAGTCATTAATGAATTGCCAATTTTGAGAACACGAGGTCTACCTATTTATCCTACACCTACAATAATAATTGATGGATTCTATGTTACTAATTAGTTCTAGGTGTCATAAAAACAAAAAAATAACTAACACTGCCACTTTCTTGCAATTATTCATTGACCAATGTAAAAAATAACATTTCTTCCATACACAAAGAACAAAAACATGGCGTGACTCTTCCACGATTTAATTTCCAGGGAAATTAATGTTAATGTTATTAAAGCAATTTAATTATATTAATTACGGTTATCCCTGTGCCCGATCTTTATTGCTACGACCAAAGGCATTTGTACCAACCATATCTTAATGTACCGCTATCTATTGCAGGGTGAATGAAACTCTTTATCAAGCTTCCCGACTCATTCACTAGATGGCCTTACTCTAACGAAGTTGTACTGTTCGTAGGTGTTTCAGTATTTTTGTAATGTTTCTTGTTTCTTATGTTTGGTATCTCTTTGTCTACAGTCATTCCACGCTGAAGTGCATCAATACAAACACCAGATCGAACTATTCGGCCAGCTGACACAGCGTCTGATTGCAGTTTATCGCAATGACGATACGACTCGCATCAAACGTTCCACTGAGGCTATCAACCACAGATACAATGAGCTGAACAACAGGTATGATTATGTTAAATAGAGATGATAATTCAAATAGGTAGTACTTAATATAATTTGGCAACTGTTAAAGTACGCCATCTAGACGTAGTAAGTTGTAACACAATAAGGCGACATCTGTTGCATTTATTTGGAACTGTTCTGTCAAAGGGTCGCTTCACGGGGTTGCTTCTCCTCTCTTTGCAAGAAAGTCACAAACACAGGTCACAAATACCAGACAAAAGCTGAGACAACATAATTATAATAAAGTCAGAATTATGTTTGTTGGGTTTATTATTTTATTTACCAACGGTACAATGAAACAAATATAAATTAAATATTCCACAGTGCTTCATATAATATTCTATTTAGCACGGGAATTCATGAATATTTCATTCATAAAGTTTTGAATAAAACAAATGTTTTAATTAAAACAACAACTTAAATATTAAAACTAAAAAGTTAAGGTTTTATTAATTTTTGGCATTATTATAATATAATATTACTGTTTGTATCGAAGTTATTGAAAATCTCATTAGTTTATGCCATAAAAAGATAATAAATAGTTATTTCAAAATGAGAACCGTAATTTCAGTAACTATTATTTAGTTAAATATTTAAACGATAATTTGATTATTAATTTGTACATTCCCAGCATTGTCGCTCGAGGCAAAGCGTTGCATTCAGCTGTATCGTCGCTGCAGAACTTCGACCGATCGCTGGAAAAATTCGTCGCTTGGTTGAGTGAGGCGGAATCGTTGCTGGACGCTGCGGAGCGGGATCCTCATCTGTTAAAGGTAAGATGCTATTAAGAGACTAGTTGTAGAATACACATTTTCATATCAGTAAGAAACTACCCGATCAGTCAAAATAAAAGCCACTGCTTCAACAAAAGGTTTGTTTTGCGACATCTATTGGAAGTTAGTTGAACTGGCAGGGGTTGACGCTTGTTATAACTTCACTTACGGTCCGCTGTGGGGCGCTATGAGCTTTCTAGCGACGGAGACTTCGTCGAACACGCAAACTGAAATTTTGCAAGGGGTGGTATTTGCTTCGCATGTTACAGCGCCATCTATAAAAGGACACTGGTATTACGTTGTGTAAGGGTAGACAAGAGAGATTCCGTTTGTTCCGAGTGCGATGGAGGTCGCTAAGTATACTGTATTCGCGTTGCGTGCATAATAGAACGAGTTAGTAAAAAGGGGTTGATTTTTTGTTGATTAAGATCTTCCAAATAAAGTTCAGAAATATATTAAATAAAACATTTTAACAAATCAATTTACAATTATAAAAATATTAAATTGAATTGGCTGTTTTGATATTGTTTTTATAATTTTATTATACTGAAAATCTTCAATATCTAACTATTATCTGAACATAACGCTGTTTTTTGCGCAGTTTCATTTATACCCAACATCGGAGAGGAATCCAGTGTATTAAAAACTATTTAAAATTTAATCCGAAGCGAGATGAAAGTTATACAAAGTTTCAAACACAGAAACATAATAAGTTTATTTCAAGTAATTTCTAAGGCAATGTGATCCAGTTTGTTGTCGCTAAGAATAATCTAATCCGGGAACAAACGGGGCACAAGCGAATTTAATTCAATTCTATTTCTCTGACAAGTTTGCCCTTTGCTTTAGAATCGCCAGATATAATTATATTAGCAACATTTCGAAGTGTTGCGAGCACATTGCCTTTGTGTGTGAGTTAACAGTGAAACAAGTCTGTGTGACTTTTGTAATATGAACATCTCTAATCGGTTTCGTTATTTAATTTGCTTTATCTGTAATTCGATTAATGAGAGAATTACACATACATCTATAAAATATAAATGACGACACGGTATTAAATGCGCCCAGATCGTTTCTAGTAGTAATGCCAAACGGTAGTACAACTTCTGTCGTTTGTCTGTTTAGTGCTGAGAACGCGGAGAATGTGTTGTGACGAAAACTTCCGTCAATTCAGGGAACTTCCCCCAAGAATCCCGGGGTATGTTTGGTACTGCGGGGTTACGGGGTAACCCCACGTGTTTTAATTCACCATAGCGCGTTAATGGAAGAGTTTCCTTTGATTACTTAAGCGGTTTAAGGCGGAGTACGTATGTTTATTGAGATTACTCGTCGACTGTAAATATTTTGGATCTTTGCTGGGATTTGAATACTCAAATATTTTTATACTGGTACAACATTTTCTAACGTTTTTCGTATAGTCGTAATGTATATTTAATACAAGCTCCTGTTATTTCGCACAAGTATTTATTAACCAAGTGGCAACATAGGTGACTACTACTGACAAATAATGGTCTAAATTGTGTTTACGGTACAAATTCACACACAACAGTTATTTTTCTAGGCTACGAAGCATTCGTAACCTTAAACCGTAGCTTGTAGACCGTAGCACAGAGCTACGGCGTAGCGGAGATTAGTTTTCCTTTGAGCTTCCTTGTAATTCGTAGATTCGTACTACGTGAAAATGTTTGGCATATTTTAAAAATATCATCAGGGTAGGATGCTGTAGGTTGATAAATATGTAGAAAGAATCTTAAAGTACATTGCAAGTTGTCGATTTAAATAAATAACGATATAATATTTGAAATTACATTACTTTTGTTATAATTTGAGTACACAGCCAACGTTAGCGGGCCTCATAGAAAGGCGTGTATTTCCTTCAGTAATCCAAGTTACAAACATATTAAAGCTGCGATGAGCTTTCATCACTGAAATGAAACCTCGCATCACGAACATCCTTGAAAATTTTAATAAGCCTACTATGAATGAAAAAAATTGCGGATCGGGATATATTCCTGTAATAAGGAGCTTTTCAGTTCAAGGTAGGCTTCAGTCTGAAATATTATTTGAAATTATGTACATTTTGTATTAAAATTTTATTCAACACATTAAGATTTTTATTTTATCTTTGAAAGATGTTTACAATTTAGAGATTAATAATAATATAGAACCAACGTCGGCGTCTAAGTAGTAGCACTTTTAAATTTAAGCCTGACAATATCTTAAACAAACAAACAAACAAACAAGTTACCAGCCCTATTTATTTAATAGTCTCAGAAAAACATTTGAAATGTACTTGATTAGTTAATGGAGATCTCGTTAAAATAAACTTGTTTCCCAACAAATAATTCCATTCTAGTCATAAGTACCTAGGTGAAAACCATTATTACCATTCTGAAAGCAAGTACCTATCTAGGTATATTACTAAAATATAATCATTGAGTACGCAACGCTAGGTGTCTGGAGATTAAGTAAATAGTGTATTATGAAAGTTTCCTCTTTAGCTGAACAATATATTTATTAGTGAAGCAATCAAACTGGATCGCGGCTTATCGCTAACTTTCGTAGTTTTAAATTGTTCGCTCGAGTTTATTAAGTTTAACTCGCTCGTAGCGCTCGTAGCGCGCAGGCTGCTTTTATTTTACGTCAAATATTTTTATTATAATAAAACAAGTTTTTAACTCATCACTTTTTAAAACTAAAGGACGTTAAAAGGAAATATTCTGAGTAATTACATTTTTAATAATTAAATTCAGTAAGTTATTATTTCATACAGGCATACTTTAATATTACAATAATAATATTCAATACGGACTTGTAGATCCGAGGTCTGTTTTCTAGCAAATGTTATTGTTTTCTTACATAATCTATGTTTGTTTCAGGTAAGTTTAACTTAAGAAAAGAAGCAACTAAATCGGTATGTATTACAAATATATTTATTTAAATCGTGGACGAAGGAAAAATAATTTTAATGTTGAAAACATGAAAATGTCGGTAATGTCAACAATGTGACTTTCAAACAAGTGAAACAAGACGCGGGAGGCGGACACTTGAGGAGGTTTTATTAAAGCCTTAAACAAACGACCAGCGATGAAATGTGGATGTACTTAGGAAGATATAAGTGGGCCTTTGTCCGCTATTCGATAAAAATATTTGTTGGACGGTCCAAACATTTCGCGGAATTTTCGTTCTCATAAAACATCTTTTGATATTCAGTTGTCAACATCTCTGCGCTACACTGTCAGTCTAATATTCTTTTTTTGTAAGAATATCTCACCGTCACTATGATAAGTTATGAGACTCAGCAAACAGGCTGTAACAGCCCGGAAAAAGCTTCGATGAATAACTCGATAGCATCTAGTAAATGTTGATCAAAAATACTTTTACACCGCGCTACGAATACAAATCGTAGCACGCTACGTCGTAGACGGCTACATCTATCACGCTACGCCGTAGAGCCCAAAACAAACTAAGAATATCTGAGAAATAGCTATCCCTATATTTTCTTCTGAGATCAAATAAATAAAGTTGATATGTCGTCATCGGTAACTTACAGATTTAGGTCGCCTTTTATCAAAATAATACAATAGTTTATAGCGATATTAATCATAGAATCTGTATATGATAAAAACCTCATCATATTTTTTTTTTAATCGAAAGTGGTGAAATGTAACTTTTCTTTTATTTTCTGATTATTTTAACGTCAACACCGCATAAATTGTCTCTCTAAGAATGTCGTATTTAACAAACAATTTTGACAAAGTAGAGGCAATGACTTCACACGTAGTCTTTTTACTTTACTCGTATTTATAAACGTTTATTCTTTATTCTTTTTCTTATATAAATATCGAGAGTTCATTACCTGAAATATTTGTAAAAATACTTCAAGGGTACTCCTTCGGTTTCAACCTAGTTCTGTCAGGCTTCGCTCTAAGGTTTCAGTTTTTTGTCCGTAAACTGAAACTTATTGCTTCAATTATTTCAGGCAGACATTTGAGAAGTGTTTTAGGAAACGAGGTCGTTGCCTCAGTCTGGTTCATTTATCACATAGATTAATATTTCGTATACATTATGTATTTTGTACACAATAATAATATTTGTATGCTCTTTTCATTAGGAACGAATGAGAATATAAAATAATTTAATAACGAATTTAGCTTTGCAGAAATTCCCACAAAGTAATTAAATTAATTAATAAAGCACATTTGAGATTAAATTAACATAAAAATATCGCTAACTCGTATTGTTTACACAAAACGTGGCCGACACATACATAGGGGCAGTTTGCTGTCCATTGTGTACGAATACTGTTTAGGATCGCTTACATTGAGCGTGTGTCGGCTATCAGCCCGTATAATGTGCTATCTAGACCTAGGTCATACATTCGTGATGGACTAACAAAGGAAAATACATATACGCTGTGAGAATCATTTCGTCTTTAGTTAGCTGAGTAGATAGGATTGTAAACAGAAACAATTTATGTAATTTAATTTAATTATTAAAATAAGGTTTTTAAACTTAGTACATTGTATAAGCACTAGGTACAATAACAGTTAGGGTTAGTGCTTGAACATTGTGATATTAGATAATATTATAAAGTCGTCGGGCAATTAGACGCAGGCCCCGCCACCGCATTACGATATACATAATACATAAACAAACATATAATAAGGCGTAGCTCGCACGCGCGTCTTGTCGTGCGTGCGTCAAATAGCGACGTTCATGCATAATGCGCATATTAGTCGGGCAGCACAGTATTAATATTGGAAGGCGAACACCTGCGATGCATATTGACGTGTGTGTTATTGCGTTTTATATTCCGTTTGCTGCCGCCCTTATTTATGTAGGCTGGCAAAATGTTGGAGATATTCTTTACATGTGAACTCATATTATTTTGAATGTTTTGTTTGCGTTGAACTTGGTTAGATTATTCGTGATTGAATCGCATATTTGGTTAAGAAGCATTGTAGTTGTTTGTTCATGTTTACTGTTATAAACGTATTCATCATTTTCGTTCATCCGATGCTCTATGCATGTGAAACTGAAAGCGCTGCAGAAAATCAATCTGCGCTATTTAAAATTTGTACTCTTTACCTCCATTAAGTAGAATTCGCAACACGAATATATTTTTAATACCAAATCTGAATTGGAGCAAGTATTTGAATGCGGGCAGGGCCAGCACACATGCGTGTGTGTATAGGTTCGGTTCGTTTTGTCCTGGGTAAGCAAATACTTTGGTGAATATGTCCGCGTGGCAGCGGGGACTGTTGGCGAGCGGACACACCTGTAGGTATACTTCGAGTATTATTATATCGTAGTTTCAAGCTTGTTTAAATATATTTGCTTGAATTGGTTTTAATGCTAAAAATTGTTTTTCTTAAGCCTTAATTAATTCATTATTTTATCAAATAACTTTTCAACGAGTTCACTTGACTAGCTTAAACTCATAAACGAAGCTCAATTTAAAAAAAAATATACAAAACGTTTCAAATATTTTTTAATATCTACTTATATAATTTTATCAAAACCATCCGTTCTTTTCCCGGTGTGACACATCTCATAAAAACTTTATCTAAGTCGTAAGACGAATACAATTACTCTGACTTGTGTAATCCTGATCTGATTTTCATGACTTCAGTCGAATACCGTTGTTGAACTCTGGTGGCAGTAAAGCGCAAAATTTCTTTACGACTTTTACTGGAAGTAGAAATACGTCGAGTCGATAATAGCAGTCTGCTCATCGGTCGAATTACTCCCCTTTGCAGCTCAGTACAATTAACACAACCTTCGGCAAGAACCTTGTAATTATTCGTCTTCTCAAGGCTGTTAAAAATCCCTTAAATTTTTGATAATGGACATTTGAATACGTCTTTGACTAACTAGTAAGGTAATGAAATTCGATGACTTCACAAAAAAAAACTGAGTAATTATATACTGTTTCTTTTTTATTTCCATTAACATTATACATTCTGTAAATGACCACTAATAAACACGGCCTTCGATACGGGATCACTACAGTGACCCGTCAAAGAGTGTTGATACAGCTAGTACAGTTCGAGGCTGGGGTTCGATTCCTACTTTGTACGGGATCGTAAATATTTGCACAACCAACAGTTGTGTCGATTCCGGAACACAACTTGTGTTTGTGAAAGTATCCGTGTCCCTCACAAACGCAATAACTTCAACTCACGAAGGACTAATTACTGCTTTAAAATAGAATAAATTACTTTGTTGAAAACATTATTAAAAACCTTAAAGGGATCTTGTGAATCATTCTGAACAAATAAACGGAACAGTAAATGAAGGGTTGAGAAGGGCAGAGTTGGGAATAAGGAACGTCCTCGAGGATTAGCAGCATCAGTCGGTCAGGATGCTCATTAACAACCAACAACCGTACCAACAGTAATCCATAACATAAATTACACCTCCATGCCTTTTGAAATCTGTTATCTATAAACTAATAGAGACAAGACTGGAGTAATCATATATACTAAGTATTATACATATGCTATTGAAATCAACATCTTTAAACACTAGACAAATATGAACATAAGTAACTTTTGAGTTTATTTTACTATGACACGATTATGTAAGGACGCCTGAAATAAACATTCTATGAAAACAATATAAGCAATAGAAACTATCTCGGCCAAACACCGCGTTTAGGAACACAAAGAGAAGCGGCGCTCTGTTATCCTTATATCGCTCCGAACATTTATCCGGCGGCTAACTTCAAAAAAACATTGTTCCAAGTAGAATGTCGTTTGGCACGAAGTATCGCCGGCCACATCTCATGTACCTCGCAAGTTTTGCGGCGCGATGTCGCCAACTCACTAGCTCGCCACCTCGCCGCTTGTTCCCGGGGATTCCTCTTTAATCTTTGAGATATCGTCAAAGTCTAGCGTTTTCTTTTAAAACATTCAATAACACTTGAAAGTTTGTTAGTTTTCGTGGCGAGTTTGGAGCGGTGCTTCATCAGACCGCGTATTATATCTTGCGAGTGCTGAGAAAAGATTTTGTTCTTTAAGTTTATGTGAGACTTGAATGGTTTTTGCTGTCGAAATCATTGTTTTAGAGGCTAAACTCGTTAATGTATCTAAAGAGAAGAACTATGTGAAATATTTGTACCTTATATAATACTCATGAATCGAAAAGAAGCCTTGAATTTGAAATTAGTAATACCATAGAGACTACGACTGAGTTATTCCATGCTGAGCTTATAATAGACATTATTTTCTTCATAATTTTCCTTTTGAAATAACTAAATATTTTCTTAAAATACAGTGCATCTTAGTGTCTCATTTTTGTTATATAAGTTTATTGTAGTGCTCGGGAGAGGGCGTTAGTGTCGCCGCCACACTCAGGTGGAAGCAACTTTGTGCATTAAACTGTCGTTAGCTGCTTATTAACATTTCACTATCGATTCTTTAAATTAACACTTTAGTTTACTGTTTGAGCAGTAACTATATTTGTTTCCTTTACTTGAGAGCTAAACAGTTTATTGCCACGTTTAAGGTTTATAGTAACAGTACAAGCTCTGACATAAAAAGAGTATCCATTTCCTATTCAGAGGTCTAGTTTCATAGAACGTGAAACAAATATGTAGCTTAATCAATATATGTATAGAATATCACTTTTTGGTTATAAAACAAATCCGCCTTGAGCAAGCGTGGTGATTAATGCTCAAACTTTCTCCATTGTTCAGCAGTGGGCATTTATAGGTGATGATGATACCAGATACTGAAGCGACAAATACTTCGTAGATATACATTAAAATAGTTTAAATACCACCATTTTAGTCAAAACAAAACTAGTAATTGTTTAATGTAAGTGTACTTGCGACAGAAAAAGACAACGGGAACATAAAATGACCTGTTAAAAACTCGTTACGTCATTCCATTGTTGTGGGCCATTGGGCCATTGTCTCACGTTACCATGGCAACGGGGTCCCAACACCCCCGGGGTGGACCCCAAGTTATTGTAGTAAATAGCGCTAATGGAAAACTATTTGTACCATTGTCTGTGCTGTATTGTATAACCGGTACTATACAACAGTCGCAAATATTTTTGGCTTGCTTTCTTGAATCACGATCTTAATGTTTGGCTGTTTTCATGAGACTGGTGATTTAAACGTCAAGTAGCTAGATTTAAGTGATAGTATAAAACATTCCTTATCTCTTTAAAATAAATATACATTAGTCATATAAACAATTTACCTACACCCATACACATACATAAAGAAAGGAATTCCGTGTTAACTGGCTGTTACAGTATCACGTTACAGTATCAACTGGGATGAATGTTAAAATGTGCAAGTTTGACGTCAGCCCGTGTTGTGCTCGCCAAGAACAGCATAATTATGAATATATTAGCACAAGATTAATGAGCACAAGGAGCCTTTCTTTGTGTATTTACTCTTTTTGCTGGGACAACAACAAAAAGAATGATGATACAATGAATTTCAGCCTGTAATGAATTTAAAATGGACACAACTCGCGCTCCGTTGGGATTCTTTTAGGCTTTGTGTAATGCGATTTAAATGTATTCTGGACTAGCCTCTGCTAGTCTATTTAATGTATAATGGTATAACAACAGATTTGGTACTGAAATATTAAAACTAGTTTTATTAAAAACATGTTTTTACAAAACTATGTTTGTTACCTGTAACTTTTCATTTCGCTAACATGAACATAGATACGCTGTAACTACAGGCAAAGCGCTTATTGAACACATAGAATGTTCTGACATGACGTCAAAATGTGTACTAATGACATAACATGCCGAACATGATGTTAACATAACATGACGTTGAGCGTTGAGCACAAAACTATCGGCTGCACTAATTGGAGCGGTACGCACAAGTATCTGACATATTATCTACTCTTTATGAGTTGTTCAGAAAACACCGAACTAAGAAACTTTGTCCAGTGACTTACATACATATGTAATTATTGTTACTTGTTTCATGTGTGATTATGTTCGATATAAGAATTTCTG